GTGGACATAGGAAAGGCCTGCTTTTGGGCCACTTCATCCCCAGGCTTTGGGTGGGCTCCCAAGGGGGGCATCTGTCCGAGGCATCCGTTGTTGTGGTTGGAACACCTGCTGTCACACCCTCCGTGGACCATTTCAGAAGGCTGACTGGCCTATTTCCTAGTGGATTTCAGCCACCTGGACCATCCTGAGTCCTCATTCCCACCGTGCAGCTCTTCCTTTGCCCCAAGAGCCCTTCCCTCCCATCTGTGTCCCTCAGCTTCCCCTTCTCGGGTCAGGTCTGCTAGGCCTTCTCCCTGTTTTGACTCTCCTGATCACCCAGGCCTTCTTGTCCATCTTGCCCTTGGGGACCCTCCTCTGAACCCCCTGCCCTTGTCCTCTCCTCAGGAAGGAACCCAGTGCAGCTGCCCCAGCAGGTGCTGGGGGCGTGGCCCCAGGCTCAGGGAACAACGCTGGGGCACCCAGCCTCCTGGTGCCACTTCCTGTGAACCCTCCCAGCTCCCCAACGCCTAGCTTCAGTGACGCCAAGGCAGGTGGCACCCTGCTCAATGGACCTCCGCAGTTCAGCACTGCCCCGGAGATAAAGGTGGGTACAGAGCCTGTGTCCTGCCCCTGCCATCTTTGCCCTAACCGTTCGCTGTTCCCTCCTTCAGGCCACTACTGCCACCCCCACCTCTATTCCTCGCACTACCCGTCACTGGCTCTCTCCCTGGGTCTTCCCTTACCGCCCACACCCCTTTCTCTGGGTCTTCCCCTGGCTTTTGGTGGCCCTTAACACCTGCTCTCTAGGTACTCACTGCTATCTGTCCTCCAGTTCTCAGTCTCTAGCTCCATTTCTCCTCTACAGACACATTGTACTCTCTTCACACAAACTACCCAGCTCACTGCCCTATTCTCAAGTCGAGAGGACACTTGCTGGTGTGTGCTCCGGGCTATTCTGCAGAGTGAATGCACCAGTTACCTCCTGTGCAGGGAGCAGAGCACGCTGGCTGGGGCAGAGGTGTGGGGGCCCACTGGTGCATCTGCCTCAACCTGCAGACACAGCCCTGCAAGGCCTCTTGGGGACGGTGTCTCAGTAGGGACCCAGACAGAGCAGGAAAGGTCTCTGTGCTGGAGTTTAGGAGGTTCTGATGACAGAGTGGCAGTTAGAAGGCTGGACGGGGTTTAGCAGAGGAGGAAAGGGGTGTTCACTCTGTGTAGGCCGGCTGCCAGGCTGGATGGTAGGGTGTCGCTGGAAAGGACGGGGTTCTGATGGCCAGTGTTGGAAATGGCATTAGCAGGACTAGGGTCCAAGCCCTAGGCTGCCTCCTATTACTTCCTGGGCATGGAAGTCACCACATGACAGACTGCCGGGAGACTCAGTAGTCCTCACATAGCTCCTGGGAGTTTCTGGCCCACAGTGAGCACTCAGACCTGAGAGGTGCGTGATTCTGGAGAAGGGTGAGCAGCTTTGAGGTTCTCAAAACGGGAAAGAACTATTGGGGTGAGTGATGGGGGGCCTTGGGAAGGTTTTGAGTGGAGAAAGGACAAAAAACGATGAGGGTGTGTGGGTGCAGTGAGAACAGGCTGGATTGTACGCTGTCGGGGACAGGGTCCTTCGGAGGTTTGGGTGCACACACAGGTGTGTGTGCTGCGAGCTGTGACAGGGACAGTGGCGCCTGCATACACTGCAGTGTGGTTGCCTCTGCAGAGCGTCACCCTGTGGAGTTGCAATAGCACACAAGGTGTTGCACAGCAGGGCCCACACACAGTGCCCAGTGTCCACGCTTCTGTGTTGTGTCCCGTTAGGGTGCCACGGTAAGCACTGTGTCACACTAGCAGCCTTGGCTTAGCTGCCTTCCCACCATAGCAGGCGTCAGAGCCGGGACCTCTGCCCTGGCACCAGCCCTCTGCCCAGGCCTGAGCTAGGCACCTCTACCCTCCCCAGGCCCCCGAACCTCTGAGCTCTCTGAAGTCCATGGCAGAGCGGGCAGCCATCAGCTCCGGTATTGAGGACGCGGTGCCCACACTGCACCTGACCGAGCGAGGTGAGGGTCTGGGCATGGCGGGGGCCAACAGGAGGGCTGGCCCAGCCCAGCCTCACCCCAGGCCTCCGCTGTCCCATCCCTACAGACCTCATCATCAGCAGCACGGCAGCTCCTCCAGCCTCCGCTCAGCCGCCCCTCCAGTTGTCGGAGGTGAACATACCGTTGTCGCTGGGTGTGTGTCCACTGGGGCCTGTGCCCCTCACCAAGGAGCAGCTATACCAGCAGGCCATGGAAGAGGCCGCCTGGCACCACATGCCCCACCCCTCAGACTCTGAGCGGATCAGGTAAGGGCCACACAGAGGGAGGGGCAGGACCTGAGTCTGAGGGAGGATGCTGCGGCCAGGGATCTGCTTCCCTGTTCCTGAGACTAGATGATGCTTGCTGGCCACTGACTTGGGCCTCTCTGCAGTAGGTGGGGGCTGAGCAGTTAAATGTTGGGGTGATCAGATGACCCAGAAGCTCGCATTGATCCATGAGTGGTGGGGAGACAGGGAGCCTGTGGGCAGACAAGGGGGTGGCTTTCTGCCCACCCTTGAGATGGCAGGGGCGGGCACTAATGCTCCTGATCCCCACAGGCAGTACCTACCCCGGAACCCCTGCCCGACGCCCCCCTACCACCACCAGATGCCGCCTCCACACTCGGACACCGTGGAGTTCTACCAGCGCCTGTCCACTGAGACCCTCTTCTTCATCTTCTACTATCTGGAGGTACAGCAGGGCCCCCGGGCAGCCTCAGGCCCCCCCGGCGTCACCACCATCGCCGCTGTCCCCCCTCGGGCTGGAGGGGTGAGGTGGGTGCCCCACTGCGGCCACTGGGACCGCAACCCCATTCCCCAGTCCTGCCCCCTCCCCATACAGCCTATCGGTCCCCATTTCAGTATAGGGGTGTCACAGCTGTGGAGGCTGAAAGCTAGGTAGCCCAACTTGTGGTGCCTGTCCCCAGTTTAGTCTGGGCTGTCCCTTTAGGCTGCTCACTGGCACAGTTCAGGCCTCCCTGGAGACCACTAGGGACTGTCCAGCCTCTGTGTCACCCCAGGGCATCACGAATAACCTCCACTCTCATCCTGCCCTGGGAAACTTCCTGAACGGCCTGGCCCTCAGCATGTTAGTTCCTCTTCTCAGAGCTTCCTTGGAAGCACTTCCCACTTCCTTCTGACCAGCACTGGTATGTTCTGTGCCCTTGCCCAGCTCCAGCTGGAGCGTGTAGCTCAACCTAGGTCTGTGGCGGGCTTGAGGTCAGCTCTGGTGCCCTGCCCTGTCCCCGACCCCCTTCCAGTTTGGGGGGCCCCCTGATCTCTGCTCTACGCTTCCTCCCCCAGGGCACTAAGGCACAGTACCTGGCAGCCAAGGCCCTAAAGAAGCAGTCATGGCGATTCCACACCAAGTACATGATGTGGTTCCAAAGGCACGAGGAGCCCAAGACTATCACGGATGAGTTCGAGCAGGTGAGGCCCCTCCCTGTGCCCTGTGTACTCTGGAATGAGGTTCCCATGCTGGTTTGTCCCTCCTCCCTTTACCACCTCCTTCAGCCAGCTGGGTCTGGGACATTGTCATTATTCACTTGGCCAACTCCTAGTCATCCCATTGGTCCTAGCCTAAACACCCCTTCCGCAGGGGAGCCTCTCCCTCAGGTATGGTGGGGCATGTGGGTGAGACCACACTCCACAGGATCTTTGACAGCCTCCTCCCCTGTGTCCCCAGCACTCAGCAAATACAAATGGAGAAGGTATTCTTGTTTAAATGACTTTCTCCAGTTCCAATAATTGATCAGAACCTCCCACTTCTCGCAAAATACTCCAGAGGAGACTACCTGGGTTTGAACCCAGCTCTAGCAGGGTGACCTTGGGCAAGTCACTTGAACCTGTCTCCATTTCCCTATCTGTAAAAACGGGTAACAGGACCCACCTTATGCAGTTGAGGATTAACTAACTGAGTTAATAACATGTAAGTACTTGATGGTGCCTGCTACATAGTAAGTGCCCTGCACGTACTGTCTTTTTGTTTCAAATTACCATTTAGTTGGCTCCACAGTGCTTTTTCCACCAAACATTTGCCTGATGCCAAGTACTAAACAAGGTCTTTGTCCTCAGAGAACTCAGTTCCCTCCCCTCGGTTCTTTGAAGCATTTCAGCTGACCCAGCCCCATTCCTACTCTGTCTTCTCTGACACTGCAGACTTCCTGTCCCCTCCTGGTTTGGTCCAAAGTAACCAGCCAAGTTAGTACATTTCCAGGCATCACTCTTTCAGAAATTCCCACACCACCACTGTCACCAGGAAAACTTCCGTCCCATAGACTCAGCCTATTCCATCTCTAGGATGGGGAAAAGGCCTCAGGGGGTTTGTGAAGACTAAACACTAGGACATACACCGCGTGCTCAGCACCTGAGCAGTGCTCAAAAGCCACAGCCATCCTGAGAAGTAATAGAACTTTGCAGAAGTGCCCAGGGTCGGTGCTCAGCTCTAGCAGGGGACCACCCTGCACTTCCCTCCGTTTCCTCTAAAGCAGGCATGATGACCTTCTACCTGAGAAGGGCATGGAGAGGGGGGAGTGAGACTGCAGGCTTAGTGCCTGGCATGCCCGCAGCCTTGTCTGTGGACCTGGCTGGCCCAGCTCCACCACCACCTCGTCATCACTCACTGATCGCCTTCTCCCCTGGCCAGGGCACCTACATCTACTTTGACTACGAGAAGTGGGGCCAGCGAAAGAAGGAAGGCTTCACCTTTGAGTACCGCTACCTGGAGGACCGGGACCTCCAGTGACACCGGCCCCTCTCTCCACCTCCCCTCTCCCGCATGCTGATCCCCCTGCCCTGGAAGACTGGGGGGAGGCCCCAGGCCACGGGGCAGCCCCCCTCCCCCAGGAAGCAGGCAGGGGGCTGGGAGGTTTTCTCCCTCTCAGCCCCACCCTGGGGGCCCCGGGGGCAAGGGATGCCCCCTTCTCCCCTCCCCAGTGAGGGACATTTTTTGGTAAACCTATTTTCATTTTGGAAAATATTTATGAATAAATAGTTTTATATGATGGCTGGCAGCAGCAGCCTCTACTATACCCCTCAGGAGTCAGTAGCAAGAGGGGTATCCTGCCGGTGGGGACGCCGGGCCAAATGGGGGTTGAACTGAGAGTTGTACCGCCTCCGCCGGTCATCTGCCTCCTCTTTTGGCTGCTCCTCCAGGGGGGCCCCACCTCGCACCCGGGCCAGCAGGGCCTCCGCCCGCACCCTCTCAGCAGCTTCCCGCCGATGACGTTCGGCTCGAAGTTGGTCCAGGGATGGGGGTCTGTGGGGGAGAAGAGTCAGATTATCGAGCTGATAGTCCTGGGAGGCCCCAGCCTCCTCCAAGAGGAGCTGCCACCTGGACTCCTTGCCTGCATCTGATGAGCTGCTGGCCTCAGCACAGGAAGCCTTTGGGACCAGGAAGCTGGCCTTGTGCCAGGGGCAAGGATCTGGGGCTCCCTTCTGTGGGGGTCTGTCTTTCCCAGTCTTTCCAGTCAGGTGCCCCTTCAGATCAAGAAAGCAACTGTGTGACACTGAGCACACCCTGGGCCTCAGTTTCCCCTCTGTAGAAGGAGGCTGGCCAGTACTCCAACGGTGTGCTCAGGAGGGTCTGGCATTCTAGGGACACAGACCTGCTTTTACTCTAACCCCATGGTTCTCAAGCTGTTTGGTCTCTTAAAACCCCAGGACCCCAGAGAGCTTTGAGGTCATGGATTTCATCAGTTAGCATTCAGCATATCAGAAATGAAAGCTGAGAAATCTTGAAAACAAGCATATATCCCATTAGCCATCAGAGCAGTGGCACCTTCCCACATCCGGACACCTCCACTGCATGCTTGAGAACAAGTAAAAAGCTAAATGGGCTTGACCTTGCAGACTCCCTAAAGGGGTGGCAGGCCCCCTAGGGTCACTGAGAACCATGTCTGCCCAGCCAGTCCCCGACCTAGTGCCCCCATGTGGGCCTCCTTACTCCTTGGGTCGCTGTTTGTGAGACCCTTCCTTTTCCTTTCTGCTGCGACCACCATCATCACCACTGTGCCTTCTCTTCCCCAAATGCTTCTGCATCTCCTGCAGAGGGTCCAGGCGGTTCTTGATCTTCACATCTGGTCCTGGGCCAGACGGGGGGGTGCCTCGCTCTGGGGGGAGCTGGTACCAAGGGGGCTGAGTCTGAGCTTCTGCTGCACTCTGGCCCAGGTATGTCAGGATGCCCAGAGCTTTCTCCTGTCTTTCCTGAGGGGGGGGGGCAGGAAATACAAAAGAGAATGTCAAGCGTGTTTCCCCTTGGTGAGCCCTGGAGGGACAACAGGAACACCCATGGCTGGGGAGGCAGAACCAGTCATCCAGCCAACAGGTGTTAAGGGCCTGTCATGAGCCAACTCTGCCAGGCACTGTGGTCATGAGACCAACACAGGTGGGGCTCCTACACTGGGGCTACAATGGCAGGTTCAGTAACAAAAAGCATGGGAAGGCGAAGACACGGTGGGCCTGCTTTAGGGTTCGAAGGGAGGCATCTTTGGGGAGATAGATACTTGGAAGAAAAATGTGAAAATAGCAAGCAAGGCAGCAGAGTGATGGGGGGCAAGGGGGCAAGTTCAGAGTTTGATGGGAAATCCCTGAGGGCAGGTGAGCGACAGGACCCAGTGTAAGTTTTACAAAGCTCCTTCACACTTCCCAAATCCCTTCCCTATAGGTTCCTGACATCAGGCTGGAGACCTGAGGGGCCCATACCTGCAGTCTCAGAGCTGGAGGGCTTCAGCTGCCACTTCCAAGCTCCCATGGGCCCAGAGAGCAATAACCAACACTTCTTGAGTGCTATGGTTAGGTTCTAGTTTCATTTCTACCCATCACTGATGAAGTGGGCGACACCAGCTTACTTTGTCCTGTCGCTTTTCTTCCTCGTACTCTTTGTTGCCTCTGGTCACCCCTTTCCCTTCTTCCAGCAGCTCCCGAAACAGGTCCACAGGGCCACTCGGGGCCCCTTCTTCTGCTGCTTCGAGTTCCGGTAGTGAGTTCCGATGCCTGGCTTTCTTCCGTAGGAATTCTGTGCGGGCCTGGGGGCAGGGGGAAGAAAGTTCTAGGCAGACCGTTCAGAACCGACATGTGATCAGAGGAACCGTGAGTCTGCTACCAGCCAGAGAAAATCACAGTCCAACGTGCTGAGAGCCATGGGGAAGGGAACAAGGGCATTGGGCACCCAGAAGAGGCACCCGTCCAGCCTGGGGAAAGGGTGGGGAAATGAGGTAACGCCTGGGTTTGTAAGCTGACTTTTCAAAGAGCAAACCAGAGGGGTGACATAATAAAGACAACTGAATACAGCCAAAACATGTATTAGGACAGGCAATCTGAGTTCCAGGAAGGGCTCCAAGTCACTAGCCCTAGTCGATTTGCAATCTCTACTGGTAAATGTGAATTTAAAAAGCCCAGACTACCTCCCAGTCAGTGCTGAGGATCAGATTATAGGACTTACAGCTAGGTGTAAACCAAACAGGTGACGGAGCTATCAAGATAGCCTCTGATATTGGGGGAGGGAGGGAAGAGAATGGAGCGGGCTTCCTCTCTGAAGCCATCTCACTCCTCTGCACAATGGAGTTGACAGAACGAACGGTACTTGAGGGATTTCGCAAGTCAAGAGTTCTGCGCGGGGCGAGCATCCAGTAGGCACTCAATAGACTCCAGGCAAACTAAAAAGTGGTCTGAGTTTCCTTGAACTGCCCAGGGGTTCCTTTATTTATAAGCTCCTACTCAGTGCCAGACACCCCTCTAGCCTCACGGAGAACACGAGTAGCGGTGTTAACACGGGAACGCTCCCTAAGTTCCACACACGCCCGGCACTTAATTCTGTGAAGGACGCAATGCGCTTGCGCGCCGACCCCACTTCCGGCCCCTTCGGGGGCGCCTGCGCGCTCGGTTCGGGAGCCCCCTCAGGCCGCTTTCGGAATTTACCTCTTGTTGAGCGAGCAGTACCCTCCGCTCACGCTCTTTCTCCTCCTCCCTGGCCTGGGCCTCGTCACGCCGCACACGGGCGACATTGTCCTTGTTCCGAACGTGCCAGCTCTTCTTGGGCAAAATGTTCATGGCGCCGTAGCTGTACACACACTGGCAGCCCCGCCTCCTAGCACTTCCGATTGGCAAGATGTCCCTGTTGTTCCGGTCTCGCCACCGGTTAGCCCTGGACTAATTGACGCGCTCCCTCCGATTCTATAGCGACAGCTGATTGGCTGAGACGCCCACATTCGTTAGTTACCGCCTTATATCAACGTTTTGAGCCAGTGTCTCCGCGCCAATGCTTTCAGACGCGACCTCTGATTAGTTGGAATTCCCGTCAGTCCCTCACAAGACTAATACATTTGATTGGCTTATGTCTTGCAGAAGCCTTGACTCCGGCAACAGGACGCGAGTTTCAAACAACACTCAGCAGCCTTGGCTGTTTATTGATAAAATAATGAGGTTCATTAAAATCAGGGGGTTCAGGGCCCTGGCAATCTCAGAAACCCAGGGATGGAAAAAAGTGCAGTCTTCTCTTCTCCCATTTTACAGATGACGTGGCCGAGGCATACAAAGGGTCTGGGGTCAGGTCTGGGCCTGAAAGTGGGACGTCACCCCGAGCTAGGCTAGGGAGGTCAAAGAGCCCCGTTGGCTGAGCTCAGTGCCACAGCGCGCTGTGCCAGGAAGACTTTATTCTGCACCTCC